ATTTCTTTAAATAATATTTCAATGCATATTAGTGTGAGAGAATTTTATATGTAGATTAAATTTTAGATTAGTTTATGAGATTTAAAATATATTACTTTTAAAATATTATTACCACTTTAACATTTACTTTTCACCATAAAGCTATTAAGAACCTGTTTGGTAACTAATATTTCCAGTTTATCAATCCTATATCAATCATTTTTATTTATCAAACTTGGCGTTGAATTATACTCACCTCGTCCGACAAAACTTGGCCAACTTTGCACCGACTAAGGGCCGGCCCAAAATCCATTCACCATGCAGCTATGCGCTTTACCATTAAATTAAAGAAATGAATCCAACCAATTGATTGCTATGGTATTACGGCGGCTGGCCCAAAAATTGAATTATTATTTGGTAAACAATAATACTAGGTGCCTATCATTTAGGTAATTAACTATTAAGTGTGGATAATTTATAATTGAGTTTACCAAATTATCAAATTCATATTATTAGGTTGTTAATTTTCTTGAGCAAATTGATATAATTAAATTATTAGGTTGTTAATTTTGCTATTATTTACACTATAATACATTTAATGATCTATCAACAACAACAATCTCGAAGTTTTATTCTCAAAAGGCTTTTGTGGTTGGCTAACATGAATTGATTTATAATATTATAACCAAAAAGAGAAGAAAGATAATTAAAAAAACTTATGGAACTTATAATTAATATTCCTTACGGAGGAATAATTTAAATACCCCAAACTTTGAACATGTGTGATGTAAATACCCTAAACTCTCACATGTAATATTTATACCCCTGAATATTATATAAAAAATATTCAGTAATATAAATTATATGATTGAGATTTGTGTAGAGAAAATATGAGTAATATGAATCACAAGTTAATTAACTAAAGGAGAAAATAGCAAAATTTTTGGAATATCCCAAAAGAAAAAATGATAAAATTTTTAAGGATGAAGGAGTTATAATCATTTTTAATATTTTTTGTACCGTAAGATCAGATTAGGATTTTGAAAAGGGCCGTGCATGGTTCCTCTATAGCACTATCACCAGAGGTCGGCTTTCTGTAACGTCATGCACCAATTTATGTAGGTACTTCTTGATCTTATACTGTCACAAATTAATTAGCTTTCGTGTAATTAATTTAAAAGGTGTCATCGATCTACATTGAGCTTCCTTTCATATTTTGTTGAGCATTCAAAATTCAAGAGCTAAAACATTTTGAGTTGCCTGTGAGTAGTTTGTGACTTGATGCCAATCATACAATTATATTCCACTCAATTTTTCGAAATAATTAGTTAATTTAAAGAGTTATAAGGGTGTAACGTTTTTAAGAACTTTTGCACCGTCGCATTTTGAAGGTGGGGAGTGGGATGATGGTGGGACTTGTCCAAGGCAGTTACCACTCAAGAGAAATGAAACACTTTTGGATGGAAGAAATTTGGAAATGTACTTGGCTCAAATGGAGGAATTAAAAGTGGCACAAAAGGAAGGAAAGATGAAAGGATTGAAAGAGAGGTTGTTAGATATGACATATGCTATGTTGTTGACACCAGGTCATCCTAGTTACATATACAACAAAATATTTTAATATTTTGTTGCTGCATATTCCAAACAATCAATTTATATTTCAATATTTTTACAGCTAAAACGCTGCATATCCGTGTGAGTGTTTAAAATGCTAAAAAACAAGTTATCCCATATTTGTGATTTCTTGAATCAAATTTCACAGTAATTATATTCCATAACACTTGCGAATCATTATTTTATTATTGATTTAATGCTTTGTAGTCAGATGGTATTATTATCAATTTCCCAAAGATGGGGTCATAAGTTCGAGTCTTCTAAATTGAGGATGTTAACTTAATCTTTAGCAGATATTATAAAGGGTGCGATTGCAATGAGAATAATGATTAACATGAGAATACACATATTTAACCCAATGTGATACACAATAGAGCTCGTCTGGTGCACATTATGACTTTGCTCAAACCAAGTCAATACATGTGATCGCATTGACATTTTGGTAAAAACTATGTTTAACATGAAAAAGTGTATTGGACGAGTCTCATTACGCATCACATTGGAGTAAATGTGTGTTCTCACGTTCAACATTGTTTCATTTTATACTTAATCGATGCTATAATATGTTCAAAAGGATTCACTAAAAATTAGTTAGAGTCACTTAACAATTAACATACGATCTGAGTCGTAACCCATCTTCGAAAGGCTGTTACTATTCATATTGAAAACAAACAAATCACTCTTACAAAAATTAATTGTTTTGAGAAGTTGGTTTTCCGCCAAGTTGGAATGTGAAAAACAAATAACTCCAGCAAGGAGGAGGAGGGTGGGAAGCCTTTCCATTGATAAAAAACCTCCTCACCTACGTGTTCCAGGATTAAGCTAATCATGAAATACTAGTCCCACTTGGCCCCTTATGAATTATTTATAGGTTAATTTCAATAATCAACACAGTACATGGAGAATGGATTTCCAGATAACCCATTCTCGTTCTCCAAATATTAATGTGAACATGATATGAGAATCTCATTGATAAATTTAGTCACTCTTTTAGTAACTCTAGTTCAAACTCGCAATTGTGAATCAATTCTAATTTTTGCGATTGGTAGCTTATTATAGACTACTATAGTACATTGGAGCTACCACACTTTGTGTCATGAACCAATTAATAGAAATACTATCAAGAAATTAAAATATGAATAATTGATGAAATAATGTTTGGAAACACATATTTACATTGTAGATAATGTAGTGTAGCATTCACTTAAATTTTATCACGAGATTACAATATTAGAGCTCGGTTACTAACACCGAAATTGGCTAATAAATAGGCTGAATCTATTGAAATTTATGAAGTGGCCGAAGCAAATGAATGGGCCGAATCTGCTAAATTATGGGAAAAATAAATTTAAAAGTATTTTTATTAATAATAATAAAATAAAATAAAAGTTATATGAAAATAGTTAAAATCACTATCTACTATCTACTGTCAATCACTATAGTGAGAAAAGTAAGTTTAGTCTTACTTATTTTAATTATTGCACAATTTATCGTGCGAAATAAAAAATTATGTTTTCAATAAAAAAGTTGGCTGATAAAGTTAATAAGCCAAAAATAGAGATTACTAAACATACTCTTAGAGCTTATTTGATGACCCCGGTTTTCGGATTATCAGTCTTATCAGCTAACTTTTTCATCAAACAATAGGTCAGAGACCGGTTCGATTCCTAGGCAAAATATATGGAACCGTTTAAAAATATGAAATGTTACCAACGGTTCAGTTCTTATAAATTATTTTAAAGAACCGATAAGAAATCGAATCATTCTTAACGGTTCGGTTCTTGTCATTTAACGGTTCCTAGCCTTTAAAATATTTCTTACAAATCACAGTTAAATTTATGCCAAAAAGACATTTAACGTTTAAAATTACAATATGAATATGCTAAACATCATTTCAAACCTCAAAAGTTGAGTTTAAAACATAAATACACAACAAATTAGAAATTTTAGAAAACAAAACAAAACAAGATATCCAGTACAATTAGCAACATAATTAGTCAACAAAAAATTTATTCAAAAAGCCCACAAACAGAGTAGCGCACTCAATGCCAATCCTGTATGCACCAAGTAGCTTCAATTCATGGCTAGAGGTTGAAGAAGCTCCAACGGTTAGCCACTTCGACCTACTCTAAGGCTATACCTCTAATTTATAAGATGGGTCCTTCTAAACTCAAAGCAATAGTAGAGAACTTATTGACAAAATACAATAATATAGAAAGCGAATGAAGCTTACCTATGAGAGCTGGTTGTCGATGAAGCCACAAAGAAAGACAAAAGAGTAAACATTAATTAGAGTTTTTGCCTAATATTTTGTGAGTGACCTTCCGATCGATCCTCTATAGTTTGGATCTAATGAGACGATTCAATGCTCAACGGACTGGTCATTGATGTCCAACGTTCAGGTCCATTGATTCACCATTTACACACAACAAATCCTCATATATAATGGCTGACAGGTGGTTTGCAACAACACATGAATTCATACACTCCATGCACGTTTTGCACCTCTAAAACACACTGCTAGCAATCTGAAAATTCCCTTTGTGTTCATACTGTGCTCTCGTTCGCTGGAACTTTTGTTTGTATGCTCAAACATTAGTTCGTAGTCATCGTATCCTGTGAAACGATTGTTGCAACGCTCCTAGCACCGTGGGAGCCAACAAATACTCCGTACGTTTTAAGGAAATCGTGCGTAGCACGAGCTTTGACTAATTCTGCTTCATCTCCTTTCTTGTTTTTCTCTTGTCATTTTATTTAATTAATTTATTTTAATTAATTTTCTTTATTTTCCGAAACACACCCAACATATACTAATAACAATTATATAAAATTTTAATTATTATATATAACGGATCCTTAACGGTTCTAGTTACATATTTTTTCAAGAACCGAGAATCGAACAGTTAATAAAAATAGGAACCGAATCATTAACAAATAACTAATAAATGTTGGAACCGAACCGGACTGGGTCATAACGGTTTGGTCCGGTTCGGTTCTCCGGTTCTAGGTTCCAAAGTCCTAGTCCTATCAAACACGTAACTTCTGATTTCGCGCGTTGAATCGTGTAATAATACTCGTAAGAAAAAACAAGGTTAACGTTACTTTTCTGACTGTATTGGCTGAAATTACTGTAGAAGATTATTATTATAGCTATTTTTCATATAATTTTTTCTTTTATCTTATTAATAATTTTTTGAAATATACTCCCTATTTTTTTTTCATAATCAGTAAAATTAGTCAAATTATCAGAACTCTATAAATTTCTAATGTTACCAAAGATGAACTTAATGTCGTGGAGTTTATTTTAGCTTCATCCAAGTATAAGCAAACACAATAGGTGCCCCTATTAATAGTGAATTAAAAGAAAAATAAAGGAACGGTGGTAATGAAAGGCCTAACACGCAACCAGTCGAGCAGAGGGGTTGGAAGCAGGAAACGTGAATAAAATACAGTATACATCTGGCACTGACCTGACCTCTTCCTCACCTACATCACTTTTCCTTCCCGTTATTCAAAGCCGCGTTGTTACCCATTCCCCTGGACCGGACCCCCCACTCGCCACTACATCATATACTTTCCTTTCAAATCCGCTCAATCCCAATCTCCTTTACCAGATAGATCTTCGCAGGTTCTTTCTTTACCCCTTTTCTTCTTCATCATCTCCACTCTGCTATTGTTTACTCATTCATAGCTTTTATGTTTAATGATCTCTTCTGTTTCTGCTCATGGATTTCTGTGTTCTTTATTCGGGTCTTCCAACTGGAATTCGGGTACATGTAAAAATTAGGGGTTTCCGCGTTTTTCCTTATTGAACCAATTCGAGCATTCTTTCCACTTCTTTAAACACCTGGGGTTTTGATTTCGAAGTTGTCCTGTTAAACATTGTTGATTGTTCTGCTTCAATTATCATAAAAATTGAATCTTTACCCTTGGTGTTTGTTTGAGGTTAGTTTTTTTTTTTTATCTGCGACAATTGTATATGTATGCAGATACTTACGTGCGTTCATATATTTTTGTCCTCTACCCTTTTCATAAAGAGGAATCGAGAAATTTGTATCTATTCTTCTTCTGTCCGTTTGTTATCCTCTATGTCCTGTAGTTTGTTATCCTTTATATTTCAGATTCGGTTCACTATCAAAACCATATATTATACTATGTATGTGATTATGCTTTGTAATTGAACCACACTTTCGTCCTTTACCTGGTCTACTTGAATGTAGCACCCAGTACCTCAAGTTCTATCAATACCTATTTAGTTATAGGTCATAACCAAATCAAAGTAAACTGAACTTGTTTTGTGCATATTATTTTGTACTAAATTGATTCAGTCAGGGTTGGTATGTGTATATATAGTATTACTGTGTTCATACATAGTTTTTGTGGAATAGTGTTGGAAACTGATAAGTATTTCTGTTAGGAATTTAAAGATTTAGAAAATTCATATTTCATAGACTTGTTAAGTGCTGACCATTGTGAATGGTTTGATTTATGTTGATAGTGAAGGAGCAGATATCATTGCGCGTGTCCCATTCTCTTCTCCAACAATTTTCGTATTAGGTTTCATGATTTGATAATTACTACCCAATATTTAGTATACACACAAATGGAGGTTAAGCTATGGAATGACAAGCGAGAGAGAGAGATGTATGAAAACTTTGCGGAGCTGTTTGCCATAATAAAAGCAACAGAAAAGCTTGAGAAAGCATATGTCCGAGATGTTATATCATCAACCGAGTATGAAAACGAATGCCAAAAATTGATTGCACATTTCAAGACTCTGTCCTCTGGATTGAAGGACACTGTCCCAAGCATTGAACGGTTTCACGACATCTACAAAATGGATTGCCCGTCTGCCCTAAACCGCCTGGTGACCTCAGGGGTGCCTGCAACAGTTGAGCACCGGGCAGCTGCTGCCGTATCAGCTTCCACTTCGGCTGCTGTTGTGGCGGAGTGTGTGCAGAACTTCATCACAGCCATGGACTCTCTGAAACTCAACATGGTTGCCGTTGACCAGGTGCACCCTCTGCTGTCTGACTTGTCAGCCTCCCTTAACAAGCTCTCGATCTTGCCGCCTGATTTTGAAGGTAAGACTAAAATGAAGGAATGGCTCTATAGGCTGGCTAAAATGGGTGCCGCTGATGAGTTGACCGAGCAACAGTCTCGGCAGCTGCACTTTGACCTTGAATCTTCATACAATTCCTTCATGGCGGCACTGCCCTCTGCCGGGACTTAGATGATGAATTGAATTTGAGTGCTAATTAATGGTTTGTTTCATTAAAAGAAATTAAGTGGTGCCTTGTTGAACAAATTTTAATTTTGTTGTGCGGATTGACCCTATGTAGGTTTATTATGGTACTACTATTCTGTGTATATGCAGTTGATCACTAACTCTTCAATTACCACTTAAATGCTTCACTGCTAAAGATCCCATGTGAGGTGTTCTAAAACTAAACCTGTTCTGGCTAAGTGGGATCTAATTACCACATGAATCTCTCCCAAAGGCTTTGACTTCATTAATTTGTCAATTTTATACTACGTATCTCTCTGTATAAGATTTATGTATTTTTTTTCTTAATATCTAAACTTGATTATACTCTGACTAGAATCATAGATGATTATCTTTTCTCTTCTCTAAGTGACTACTCTACCTTTTAGCTTGTTATTGGGTTTTAGATGTGGTATGTACATAATCTTGTGGGTTTGTTATTTTGTTATTTGTGTTGAATGCCATGGGTACTCTGACTGAATCTTACAAGTTATATGAATGCCGGTTTAGTTAGAGTTTTGCTAGGTGTACGCATTTTGTGTACACAAAATACACAAAATGCGTACACCAAGCATTTTTCGTTTAGTTAGGACTGTAATGTAAGAGAAATGCTACTTATACACAGTCGACACGTCGGATTACACGCCCAAGTGTAATCGTCTGTGCACAAGTAGCAGCATTCTCCGTAATATAAATGCCTTATTCCGAATATTTTATGTTTGCTAATTTCTAAAATTTGAAACTAAAATGTAATTTCCTCATTCAGTTTTTATATTTTCACTAAAAGAAGAGAGGTAAACAAGATGTTAAACTATTAATTGTTCTGCAACCAGCTCCTCGAATTGAATGAGCTTACAACTACACCATTCAGTTCATTAAAATAAAGCAATCCATTGGTAAGAAGGTAACTTTGTAGTGAGAAGTAAAAGCGAAAGTTCCCGAAATATGACTAAAAAAGTTGGAAAATTCTAAAATGGGACCGCCATGTTTTTATACCCAAAATAGGACTAATTACTGCCAAATTTGGAAAATACTGCCATGTTTGAAGTCTGGTACTGCCAAAACATGACATTAATTAGTCCTATTTTGAAAATAAAAACATGTAAGTCCTATTTTGGAATTTGCAAACTTTTTTAGTCCTATGTCGGGTAATATCTCCAAGTAAGAAGGGTTTGATTGCATGATTTCAAATTTTCAATCGGGTGAGAAGTGTATTTGTAACGTCTTCCTATTCAAGAATGTGGTTGCAGGGCAACTAATAGTTTTAAATTTTATTTGCGCCTTTTCTTGGTTCCCATATGATCTTGAATCTAAACATTCTACTAGCTGGAAGTTAAGAGCATCTCCAATGGGAGAGTGTTCACATTGATAAAAACGACCGACTCACCTATGTCAACGTATCTGGTAAGTTTTTCATCTCCAATGCGGTATGTAGAAAGACATGTATTGCTGACATGTAAAAAAATTATGTAAACATTGTTAAACGGTCTGTCTTCGGATAACAACATTCTTGACATGTTGACTCATCAAAATTGTGCTCAAAAATTGTGCAAAACACCTTGGAAGTTGGAAGTTCTCCGGCTCATTAAAACTCTGTGCCCTAAACCACTACCTCTATCATCAAGTAGTGGGTTTAATCATAACTACTTTTTGCCATTTGTGTCGATCAAAACTAGTCTACTAACCAAAAAATTTAAAAAAAAGTTTAAAATATCACCGAAAGCCATTGAAAATATAAAAAAGTTGAATAATTTTATTCGAAAAGCTTATTAGAAACTAAAAAAAAGATAATAAAATATACGATCTTATCGGAATATCATAGCTCTACCAAAACAATTAACAATTTGCTCCGAGAAACCCAAACAAAGTCAAAATTCGAACCAGTTGTAGGGAGAGTGACTTTTTTTATCTTTAGAAGAATTGACATTTGATCAAGAATTCATCGATTCAGCAGGGTTTTGACATGCAGGTTTTTTTGTTCAAAAAGATTATTCTTAATTCATTTTTTTAAAAGCAAAAGGCTTGCACGTAGGTTATGAGGTTTGGCCGTTAACAATTAACATGAAGCATTGGATCAAATTTGGGAGTTTCAATGTTTAACTAAATCACGCTCACATGACATGGATGTACATTCCATTTATTAGCTGACATGTGTCAAAGTTTATCTCATGTTAACAATGTAGCATTAAAGATGCTCTAAGCTTTTATTTTTAGCAGATGACCAGATGTGAATAAATTTACCATCGCTGTAGCAAGTGGGGAGCGAGTCGTGACTCGTGAACAAGGAACCTGTTTTTAGTCTCAAAACATGGAAATGTTTTATTCTTAAAACTACTCCCATTCAAATTCGAGCTTAAAAGGACGTTTGATTAAGTATACGTATAATTTAATATTTTTGCAGTATGGCTTGTAAAATATATTTGTGAGAGAAGAATGATACTATGTATAATACTGTACATATTTAATACGGAGTACTCCGTATAAAGCTTTAAAATTATTTTACGGGTAATTTAAAAAATAAATTATACACTCAATCAGATAATTATTTTTAGTTTATGTATAAAGTGACTGTTTCTCTAAATTTTGAAGAATCTATTTTTTCGTAAAATTTAAGCCTAAATTTAAGCATCCCATTTTCTTTTCAATTTAAGATCAACCTATTATGCTAAATTTATCACCATTCCTTTGTGGGGCTAAAAGAAGAGATTCCCCTGCTTGGAAGAAAACTAAGTCATCACAACAAAACTGCCCGGTCCATTGGTATTAGTAATATCCATTTCTGGTAGTGGACACCTGAGATTAGTATATTAATGATAAAGTGGCTGACTTCATATCTAAAACCAAGTGGAATACTGATGGACATAAACTCTATCCTGATCACTTGATTGAGAAGATCCATGATGTTCCTATTACTAAAAGCAATAATCTTCTTTTATGGTTTTGGACTCTAGGCATCCTGGTTGACTTTTTTCGAAATCTTGGGCTCTAGGTTTTGGTTGTGTTTGGGTTTGTGCTACGATCCAATGGGTATGCTCTCGGAGAGTTGGGCTTAGAGCAACTTTAATAAAAAAAAAGTAGATTTTAATAAACTAATACCTAGGAAAAATAATAAATGAGAGATATATAAAAAAGTTGTAAGGGTGTATATGCCATGTGGATTGGACCACACGGTATTGGAGATGCTTTTAGGCCATGAATTTTGAAAAAATCTATATGTACATGTACGTTTTTTAAACATCCCTATTTTGTTTGTATGGCAAATCATCTGAAAAGTGCAGAAGATGTCTTGTATGTAGGCATGGACCCGGTCGCGGAATTGGGGCGGAAACCGCACGGTTATGAATCGAGATTGAAAAAAATGTTGTAATCCAGTACTGGAACCAGACCGGTGGGAAAGAGCAGGGGCGGACCGTAGTACAGACCCAGGGGGGCGGTCGCCTCCCCAACAACAAAAATTTTAGTGTATATATATAATAAAAAATAATTTTCGCCCTCCCAAGACAAGCTTCTGGGTCCGCCCCTGGGAAAGAGGTCCCGGTCCCAGAACCGAAACCGCTCAGTTATAAACCGAAACTGGAAAATAAGGTTCTGGTCCGGGACCGAAACCAAACCGCTGAGAAAGGGACCGGACAGTTTAATTTCAACTTTTTTTTTAATTCTTTTGCTAGTAAATAATTGAAAAACATTTCATAAGCGTTGATGGTTCATTAAGGGAGTGTTTGCAAATGCTTCTGCTTAAAAAAACACTTTTGGAGATGTAATGAAAAAGTGATTAGTAGTAAAAGTTGATAGTGTTTGAGAAAAAAGTGATTTCGAAAAGTAAAAGTTGATAGTGTTTGGTAAAATAAGTGCTTTTTGTGTAATAGAAAAGGGAAAAACACTTTTCACACGCAAGTCGAGAAAAAGTAAAAATTGTAAGTGTTTGGTAAATAAGTGCTTTTTTAAGCCAAAAGCTGAGAAGTGCTTTTTTTTAAGCGATTGCAAACACTCCCTAAGATTAAAAGAGGTGTACACAAGGTGAAGATGATTTAAAAGTGTATTAAACAATAAAACACGGGAGCGGGACTAGATCCATGTCTATGTGACTATGTGTATGCACAAACAAGAGTACGAAACGGTACAAAAAAGCATAGACCAATTCAGGCACCTCGCTTGTTTTTTTTTTACAGATAGCCAAAGATGCATTTAATTGTTCTTTTAATTAAAACAACCAAATAGGATGCTATATATCTAAAATAGGATTACTTTTCATTTATTCGAGTTTTTGGATCCTTATCCAATATGTAAAATTCAACAAGCTTTTGGATAAAAATTTCATCCCTAGTAATCTCGTGGTAGTCATAGTTAGTTAAGAAATTTTATCAATCATGATCTCAAAGATGTATTTACTATCATGAATTTGAAAGATTAAATGTGTCGATATAGAGCCCGAATGATAGAAAATCGATCAATCTAAAACCTAAATTCTATGAATTTTTCTACTTTAAGAAACTTAAATAATGTTATATAATTATTCTGGTTTTATATATATTGACACACTTCATCGTTTAGATCCTTTATCGATAGTGAATGGCTGAACGTTTGAGATAAAAAATTGGTAACATTCCCTTAGTTAATTATTTTTTGTTCTTGACTTTTTATTGTTATGACTTATGACTATGGACAACATGAAGAAGTTGTGTCTGATTTAGAAAACAATGTTTCTTCATCTCAATGTCATTGTCATATATGGCGTAGACATGTCATGGTTAATTAGTTGTTTTTAATTTTTATTTTTTCTTATTTGTGTATGAAAAACAATATTTTACATTGAATTTGCTTTTTGAGTTGTATGAAGTTTTCAGTGAGTTAATTATTTCTAAAATGATTTAAAAATAGAAAGTCGAAAACACACGCCACTACTTAAGAATTTATCGGAGTATATTTATGAAACACTTTTATACTTCAATGACAAAAAACAGTTTATACCATTAGTATTTCTATATGACCACGCCATTACATCATCACTATCATAACACGACTACACAATTACTAGTAGCATTACATCAATACATCATCATGACCACACCAAATCCACATCAAGAGAAATAGGTTTCGATGATGATTTTTTTTTTTTGTGTGGCGCAAATACCTATTTTATCACTTATTCATTTGTGGATTAGCCAAAAACGAATCGCGACTCTCTAACCTCGTTCTTCTGGTAGAGAGCTCCTGGGGCAGAGCCGCCGCAAGGTAATTTCTGATTTTGATCTTTCTTGATCGAAGTTCGGTCAGTGTTTCCCTAGCGAGATCTCTTGCGTAGGGTTTTTACTTTGTCGCCCTGGTGTGGCGTTTCTTTCCACCGAAGCAGCATTGCGCCGGATTGCCGTGGTTTGGTCGTAGCTCGGGATGGATGATCGTGGCAGCGAGAAGATGGTGGAAGAAGCGAGAGAGACGTAGAGAT